GGTCATGGATAACCTGTAACTTGATGTTCCCCTCCTCACAGAGGTAGTTGAATCCTTGTGTATTAGATGCTCTTCCTAGCTTTGCTGCTTGGCTTCTATACTTGCCCTGGTTTAGTTCTTCCGTGATCCCACACCCTGCACCTGTTTGCAGGAACAGTCCTATTGTTTTGTGTGCAAAGTTTCACTCCCGTTTGGGGAACAAGTACTCTTGTTTCTCGGGGAACTCGTGTTTTATTCTCCATGACCAATTCCACTTGAGTCTTGGAGATATTTCTGGGCTGACTCCTCACCCTTACTTTTGCCCGGAACAACTATCCCTGCATGTTATAGGTATCCATAGATCAATCACTATTTTGTAAAAGACATGCTTGGTTGCTTCCAAACATGATCATGGCATGATCGAGCTGGCAACAAGATGTTTGTCCTAGGACACAGGAGTTCATACCGGCAGTTAGAACACTACCCTTCGAGACTTTGTGAGGTTCTATTGAGGACTGGCTCCACAACCAGTGCTCCGTCCAACATCATTAATCCCGTTACAGTAATACAGGTAATACAGACAAGTTCAGATCCTTGAATGAACCTCTCTATTTTTTTATTATTATTTTTTTTAATGGCGTGCAGAATTCTGTGGAATTGATCATAGATTAGTTAAGGCTTCCCACCAGGCCCACTTCGAAGTACCCCTGTTCACTCAGTGGCATCCAAGGTGTTTCACTTAGACAGAAGGAGAAGTGTACTTTAAGGGTTACCTGGGCGAACTGCTTGATGCAGGTCAGGATTCCATTGGTGAAGATCTGATAACAAGGCGAGACAGCCCGAGGGTGATTGGCTGACGGGTGAGAGAGGCCGACTCTCCATCAAAGGTGTCCCAAGTGTCTCTGAATATGAGCGTAGAACTCACACCAATCCCTGATGCATAAGACTCAGACATAGCTGAAGAATGGCAAAGAGTCTTGCTAAGGAGGTTGTGGACCATTTCTTGCTATGTAACCTTCCTCCTTCCTCCCAAGCCCTAAGGAAGCAGAATTTAATACCCTCGATTCCAGAGAGCTGGATCATCTCATGTTAGGGTGCAGGAGTAATGGCTCACACTGAGCCACCAGTTAGCATGGACATGGGCGATGTTGAGATGCTGGTGCCGATAAGGGTATCACTGAGATCATAGCAATTATCCAGAAATTACTCCACTCTGCACACAGTACAAGGTGCTTGCTCTCATCCTTCTGAGGTGTATCAAAGACTACCTGCTGAGGCATTAGAGACCGATGTAATCTGAATCCACTCCAGCAAATCAGCGAATTATGTGTTTAATGGACCACTGTACAAGTACTGATCAAGTGAGCAATGAGGACCCCAGTTATTAATGGTACACAGGAAGAGGTTGTGACCTACAAAATCTGCAGGTTAAGGCTGTACTATTCGATGTGTGCCCACCATATTATCAACAAAACTACAATAGACCATATCCTTCACCTGAGTCTCTGTACAGCATCTTTGCGAGTCCAGTCATGGGTTGCTCACAGCCTACATGGACCTTAGGAAGGCATTTGACTCAATGTATCATGAATCACTTTAGGATATCCTGAGATGTAGAATTCCAACAGAGATTATGGGATTAATAGGAAGCCTGTGTACTGGTACTGAAAATACTATAAGGGGTGTTGGAGGTCCATCTAGCTTCTTCCATATGAATCCATGAGTGAGACCCGGTTGTGCTCTTGCGCCAATGAATTTTAACACTTGCCTGAATTTGATGTAATAAACTTCATAAATTAATAAAAGATCGAAAATCAAGGTGGAGCTACACTGGGCAACAAATACAACAAATCTAGACATTGTTTGATGATATTACTATGTTATATGTGTTTTTGAAGAAAGTGACAGTAGGTTTCACTGCATTTAGTAGTGAGGAGAGAATTTCGAGTCTTCAAGTCTCTAGGCTCAAGATTCAGAATTTAAGGGTCAGCTGACAGAATCTATTCAGTTGGTAAATGTTCGTGGTCAAGAAACCGAAGCCTTACAGAGTTTTGCATTTCGTGGCAATATAGTGTATGACTCTGGGAAGTATGAAGATGAATTAGTAGCAAGAAACATGAATTCATTTGACAATAGCATTTGAAAATGCCATTATCTGAGCAAAAATACCAAGATTCATCTTGACGCCCTTTGCAACGGGTTTTGCATTTGATTGCGGGGTACTGGACCATGTGCTCCATAACGACTACACAGTAAGACTGATATAGTACCTGTTACTTGCACACACCGGAATCACCAACTCTGGCAATACAGACACTAGGCTTGAATCCCTGAGGATGATCCAGCCCAGTGGGTTGTATTCTTTAGACAACCCAGGGTGGGACGACCAAGGAACCAAGATGTGCTTGGCAGCTCACCTGAGGGAACCCTTATTATTAAAAGATTATTGCTGTGGCTGGAAAGGGAGGATGGGTATGGCAGTGTGCCGACTACTGCGCCTTCTGCGTACTCAGTCATGTCCGCCATGCACCCCTTGAGATCAGCTACGTGTTCTTCGTGCAGTAACTGTGGAATATGTTAACTTAAGATTGATATTCCATAGCTTCAAGTTTCCTCCGAATAGTACCAAATCCGAACTATACCAATAAACCTATTTTCGGTTATTGTTACCATGCCTTTACACAAGTACGTCTGTGCATATACTCAGGGGCGTCACTTAAGGTGGGGTATGGGGGGGTTCACCCCCCAACTCTTAAAAAAGCCTCTTTTTGCAGGGCAGAATCTAGTTCTGCAGGGCAAATTTTCTCTTACGGAATCTGCCTCAATAGCCGATAAGTATTCAAGATATATAAATAACTATATGAAACTAATTGTTGATGATACTTGATTCATAACATCTTCTGGCGCAAAGTGTCTAATGTCTAAACTATCGAAATTAATTTTTGAATCCTGTTCTATTCGTTATAGATTTCTTGTTTTTTGGTATTGTAAGAAGTTTCTAGTTAAGTTTTTACGTTTTTTGTTGTTTTGTTCATTTATCATTTGTAAATACTGGTTGATGGTCCATTCCGGGCTACTTATAAAGAACTAGTGAGCATTTTCTCTTTCGTGATTTGCAGGGCAAAAATTATTTTTTCAGGGCAAATTTACCCGTCACTCCCCCAACTCATAACATGAAGTGATGCCCCTGCATATACTTGAATCTATTTACTATAATATGCAATGGGATAACCACTTGAACGAAGGCGTAGCTGTAACTTGGCTACGTGCAAAGTCGACATCATCAACATCATCATCATCACCATCATCATCATCATCATCGTTATCATCATTTAGGGACTGCTCATGCTTTTCCGAATTATCATGAAACTAGTGAATTAGCACATAATTCACGCATGTTTCTGTTGACTACCGTCAAATACGATTTCCGTAGTTTGAGCATATATGCGTTTATTATAATGAATTATATATACCGAACAAGAATAGGATAGTTTACCCTTCTTAATAGAAAATTATATATATATTATATCTATCTATCTATCTATATATGTATATATATATGTATGTATATATACATATATATATATATATATATATATATATATATATATATATATATATATATACATATATATATATATACATATATATATATATATATATATATATATATATATATATATATATATATATATATAACACGCAAGATGAACAAAACTCGCTACAGAATGCAACACAAAAATTTCCTGTAACTCTTTAGGAGGCAGCTTCACGCACACGCACACTCACACGCACGCACACACACACATACTCACACGCACGCACACACACACACACACACACACACACACACACACACACACACACGTATATATGTATGTGTATATTTACACACATCTACACTTACTTTAATATACGCATTAATCTGTATGTTAACATGTACATGTACACATGCACATACACATACACAGACGTATGTGCATATGTATATATATTCACATATGCATATATATATATAATGTAATATATATTTTATATATATGAATATATTTATTTATACATATATATAATATACATAAATATATGCACACACATGTAGAGAGAGAGACACACACACACACACACACACACACACACACACACACACACACACACACACACACACACACACACACACACACACACACACACACACACACACACACACACACACACACGTATATATATATGTATATATTTACACACATCTACACTTACTTTAATATACGCATTAATCTGTATGTTAACATGTACATGTACACATGCACATACACATACACAGGCGTATGTGCATATGTATATATATTCACATATATGCATATATATATATATATATATATATATATATATATATATATATATATATATATATATATATATATATATATATATATATATATATATATATATATATATATATAATATATTATGTATTATATATTATATATATGAATATATTTATTTATACATATACATATATATGATATACATAAATATATGCACCCACATGTAGACACACACACACACACACACACACACACACACACACACACTCTCTCTCTCTCTCTCTCTCTCTCTCTCTCTCTCTCTCTCTCTCTCTCTCTCTCTCTCTCTCTCTCTCTCTCTCTCTCTCTCTCTCTCTCTCTCTCTCTCTCTCTCTCTCTCTCTCTCTCTCTCTCTCTCTCTCTCTCTCTCTCTCTCTCTCTCTCTCTCTCTCTCTCTCTCTCTCTCTCTCTCTCTCTCTCTCTCTCTCTCTCTCTCTCATCTCTACTTCAAGAATCGAAGTATTGTTCGCGGGAAACACATCCAACACATATTGCGGACTACACTACATGAAGAATCCAGTGCGATACTGCATAAAATATTCCAGAAACATCAACACAATCCCACATAGAAAACGTATCATCTGTTCTTAGTATATATATACGCATCTATTTCTATTTTCACTAATAAATACAAAGATATGTCGCGGCAAAGTCTGCCAAGTGTGCCGGATCCACGGAACAGTGTAAACAAACATGGCAACGTCGTTAGAGGAGCGTAAGTCGTCATTAATCTGAAGTCATTTGATATATTTTTGACCTTTTTAGGGTATTTATTACAGGGAGACACTCAAGATAGTTGCGGTTTTGTAATATTTAGGAAAAGAAATGATGATTCTATGTCTTACCTTGACAAAAGCTACGTTACCTTAATTGAATGTAATTGATGGGTATTTATCAATTAATTTGAACGGAATTTAGCCAGTAACGCTAAAATATTATATTCTAAATAGGAAATAATTAATTACTGACTATGCCGTCCTTTCAAGTAAAAAATAATCGGCGAATGCAGGTCTTCAACGCAATTCAGCAATCTTGGGGGTCCAGTGAGGAATCAGGGGTTTTGGGTGTTGGGGCGGGGGGGGGGGATATGGCAGATTTTACTCACAGAAAATATTTAAAGGAAGTGTAAAACTTAAAAACCCAAGTCAAGAATTGCATTTGGGAAATAGAAAAACCTAACTCAGGATTTGGCCATGGAGGACTTGGTATGCTATTGCGTGAACGAATCCGTTCATAAACATACAAACTACCTCAAAGATCACAGTATTAACCAAAAACCTTCCTATCTCCCTCCCAATCACTTTATTTTCCTATTGGAGGTTCTGCCCCTGAACCCCCTCTCGACTGCCACTGGCTCTACATTTCTAGTTTCAAATTAGGTTTACCTTATGGTTGGAAAGAGGTCAGCGCTGAAGTAGCGCTGTAAATAAACTCCACTTTTAGAATGAGCAATGAGAGCTGTGACAGCAAAACTGTCAAATTTGTTAGTAGATGGCTGCGCATTTGCAAGTGGCGATGTAACAAGCATAGCAAAGAAGAAAATGTGTTCATATGATAATGAACACATTATATATCTAAGGAATGGATATTTAACAAATGCATATTTTTATATAATTTTATATAAATTCATTTAAAGTATAATACATTTCTGAGAAATTGACTATGATTGGTTACGTGTAGCTAAGATGTTCACTGCAAGGAGAGAGAGACTGGACTTTGTCACTGGAAGCACATGGGTACTGCCTCCACACAGCATTTGTCACAACCTATTTTCTTAACCCCTTGGTGCTGGGTGACGCCAATCGGCGTGAAAACAAACCGCTCGAAAGCTGGCGTGCGGCCGTACGCTGCGGCGAGCCAGTGATTTGGGCTGATGTCCCCTACTCACGTGCTCAAAGTCAAAGCCTGGGGGGGGCTTCCGCCCACTATCCCTGCCTTGGAAGACAAAGAATCCACCATATATGTATAGCAGAAGTGAGAGTAGGACAGACTTTGTGCTCCTGCATCTCAGTTGTATGCTCTATCCTACTGTGAATATGTGGAGTTTTCTTGGGCAGGGATTGGGGGGCTGCAGCTTCCCATAGTGGGTTCACAAGTGGCACAGCCCCCAGTATATGACTGTGTTTTATCTGTATATTACTCATATTCTATCTTGCAATTTCCCTGGTAACATTCATACCTTTCCCAGCTATTGTGGCCAAGATTAGGGGGGTTTGGGGAGTTCCATGGCAAATGTCCTACATATATAGAAAGTGAAAGAAATCCATTAACACCACCATCTTAGTATTTGGTCATGCAAAGGTATTTTGAACAGTTGCCCGGAGACCACTTTTCTTTTAATTAGTAACAATTTGGAAAATCTGCTTATAATCTTTTTATGATAAATATTTGTTTTACATCCACACGTTGCAGATGCCTTCAGTGGGCAAATTAAAATTCACAAATGTTCTGGTGAACACTATATTTTTTGGAAGCTCTTTTTGTCATGAATAAATCTAGTAATCATTTTGATTACAAACGATGCACAGCTATGATATTGGCCCTGAAGCTGGGTAATTACATTTCATTCTTCTGTCAGTAGGCCTAGGGTTCTAAAAGTTTTACACATGTATCCAGAAATGTATGGAATTAAAAATATAAATTCCAAAATATGTTTACATATACCTAAATATAAAAATTCAATCTTATATACTGTTCATTACAAAGTGTTTTCTAAGAAAAGATATAATGATGACTAAATAAATAATTTCTTTAATACAAACACAGTGCCTAACAGATATTTATCAATAATTTCAGGCCTTAAACTTAAGCAATATCAAGTAGACACATGGACAACCAGAGAACAGCTATGTCTTGCATCAGCTGTTATGCGCAGCGGCGACCAGAACTGGTAAGATATTGAAATTATATATAAATATCTTGGGTTCACTTTGTAGATAAAGGCAATATAAGATTATGTTTCAATTTTAGATAACAAGTTTGTATACTGCTGATATAGAAAATAGGGTGCATTTGTATGATATCTTTTTTTTATATTTAGTCAATTTTTAGGTATTAATGGTTGTTTCATTCTGGTAGTACTTAGATACTTTTTCTAAGATAACATAACATAGAAAATATTGTAATATTGTAATATATGCTAAGACGGAATAGAACCTAAATGTGCATATGAATATTTATATGTATATTCATAAAAGCTTGCATTGTAACATTTTGTAGGGTTGCTGTGAGACGCAATATAAAGATGCTGACTAATGAAGCCAGTCGACCTCCTGACTGGTATTCAACAAAAAACTGTGCTCTACAATATGCAAAATTACTGGAGTGTGTAGACACCCCAAAAAGAAAGAGGGAACGAGGAGATGCAAGCAATGAAACGCCAGGGGAAATTGTCACCAAAATGTTAAGTAAACGTAAGTTGCTTGGCAATTTTGCTGTCAAAAAATATCTTCAGTTTCCTGATATTAATAAATTAACTGACAGGTTTACTTGACCAATGTATCAAAATTGATTTTTTTTTTTTTTTTTAATTAATTAATTAATTTTTTAGATTACTGTCTACAATGTTTAATTATATGTTGATGATACATATAAATGAGGAATATGAATTAGAAGATGATAACCACTAGAGGAATTTTAAAGTAATTATTTAACCCAATGCCGCTGGGGAGAATGAATAAAAAATGGCAAAATTTTCTATATTTTTTGTGAAATGTCTCTGCACATAGATGGCTCTGCTAGTGCTTAGCCACAAAGGAGTCAATTAGTAGACCTTGTGACCTTACCTGTTTTGAATTGGCAAGAAAACTGTATTTTTTACTTGTGCAATGAATATCAATGATGTTATTTTTATTATAAACTTTATAATTACTATAATGTTATAAACATTAGTAACAAGAAAATAAGATAACATAAAAAATTTTCATAAATCAAAGAAAAGGGTAAACAGGCGAGACAGGCAGTACTCGTAATTGGCTCATTGGTGACTTTGTACAAGTGTAGCCATCTATGTGTAAAAACAATCAAACAAGTAACTCACAGTGGGCACAGCATGTACATACACATCATGCCTGTCGGCATTGGGTTAATTAAATGGTAGCATACTTTACAGTATTGTTAGAAATAAGAAATAGTGATCAGAGAAATTAAGATGACTTATAATATATGTCCATATCAAGTCTAGCCCAATGTTTTATCAGAGCGTGTAGAAGAGCTCCGTGCAGCTGAAACAGAGGAGCGATCGGACTATAACAAACTGAGGCGGGAAATACAGCAACTTGAGGATGGATTACTGGATAACCAACTTGATGCATTTTGGGAGGAATTACAAAGGTGAATTCTTATGTAGAAGATATTTAGGCTCCATTGACTGTGGTAGACAGTAATGGAGAATGATAGAATGATTGTGTTTGTATTGTTTAGATATTTGTTACTATATATGAACAAGGAATATGAATTGAAATATGCTAACTGCAAGAGGAATTTGAAAGTAATTACTTTGAAACATACAGAGAAAGAGCTGAGCAGGAGGAAGAGGAAAGGAAGCACCAACAGTGGCTTAAAGAACGTGAGGAGAAAATAACAGCCATCCAACAAGCTTTGAAACATCAAGGCCCAAAGGGTATGTCATATATTTGTTAATTGTATATTTATTGGGTACATATTCAGTTTATGTTTCCTGGATATGCTGCTCTATATTATACTAGAATTAAAAAACAAAACAAAAAAACTTTAAATTATAAGAAACAGTATTAAAGAAAAACTTATTTGTATAATGTGTTCTTTTGCCATCAGTACCAGTACTGCCTAACAAGAAAAAGCAGAAACTGCAATGGCCAGGTAGCTCAGGAGGATTTCCAATGGGTAGAAGAAACAGCGGGGTCTCAGAAACTTCCTCTGAGGTTGACAGTGCAGTTGACAGTCCAGAAGTAGGCGAGACTGTAACTGAAAGTCTGGTAAGTGTAACAGTGAAATGGTTGATATCATTGGTTTTGTTACCCCACTGTTGCTAGAAAAGTTCATCATTTGTTCCTCCTGTAGATTCTGCTCTATGTAGAGCTATGTGAACTGTGAACAGCAAACAACAGAAATCACTTACCAGCTGTTCGTTGACATAGGCTGTAATGTGCATTTATTTGTAATGAATGGAACCAGTTATTAGTGTGTGGTGATATGATTTATAAGAAGATATAAGTATGGAAATTCAATTGGGTGACAGTCACAGCTTAGTTAATAATTACATAGATTACATGATGACTGTTTTCTCTCATTCAAACTCATAGATTAGGAAATGAATATGTATATAGGTTCAACTTGTTTTATACTTTTATAAAAAGTTTAATAAGAAAAGTAGTTTCATTTAGATGTTTATTTTTGGATATCTTCACTGATATGATAATAGCTCTCCAAGAGATTTGTCTTGCTGCATAGAGCTAGCTTTTATATCTAGCTCTAAGAGTTCCTTATTACATGTGGTATAATCTCACCATGAAAGATTTAATGTATAATTTTGACCATTGCAGTTGTATGTTGAAATCCATTTGAATCAAATAAAATCTTCAAGAGAACTGAATTACAATAATTCATTCTGTGAATCCTTCTCGAAGAAGGCAGTAGGAATTCATTGATTAAGGATAAGGATAAGTCCGATATGCGAAGCTGAGCCTCGCCTGGGCTATGGGGGGAGCCCGGCCTGTGCCGACTAATGTCGACTCGCTAACAGCGTGTCAGCTGGTGCTGACTCGGATGAGCTTAGTCCTCACCCACCGTGGTGCCCAGCCACAGCAGTAACCTCCAGGCGACAATTGCAACTTCTCGCTCCTGGGCAGGGCGCGAACCACCAACCCCTCGGATGAGAGGCCGACACGTTACCACTGTACTAGCCCGGAGGCTGTTGATTAAGATTTAAACATCATATTTACTCTCTTTGCAGGCTCCAGAAGAAAATGTAACACAAGAACCAGAACCAAAGCCAACACCTCCCTCTCCACTGCTGTCTTCACTCCTTAACAAATCTCCTATCACTAGTGCATCAGGATCTTCTACTTCCCCTTTGCCTCAGGTTAGTAGCATGGTAGAAATAATGCAGAGTATGTGGTATTGTGTTGATATATAAGAATAATTAGCCAGTAAGCAGATTGTAAATGCTTTTTTGTTCTTATGTACTTATTTGTTTATTTCATATCACCAGTTGAATCTTGGCAGCAAAAGTGCAAGAGGTAGCGGGGTCTCTCCAGTATCTATGGCACTTCAAAACCTGGTTAACTCTGCCATCTCAGGGACAGATGCTAACAAAGACACTTCTGCAAAGACCAGTAGAAGCCCAAGTTTATCAGGTTTTAGTCTGAAGAGTTTTTACTTACATTATATTTGAATATATATTTTATTCAGTGATTGATGTATCCATTGAGACTTCTGTTTTGGTGATTCATTGTGCATATATCCTGATGATGCCATCCATACATTCCTTTTGCCTGGTCTTTAAGATTTTGGATCAAAGTGATTTTGCTATCATATACCTTATAGGTGTCTTGCTTCGTAGGATCATCAACTTTGTCACGACTTCTAGACCTGCCTCCAAGCAATCCAGGAGCTGCACTGCCCAGACTACCTGATATTAGTGGACCAGTAACTGAGACTAAAGATGAGGTGGGTTAAACCTTTGGTTGATTCTGATGTAGGTTTTTGTTAACCCAATACTGCCGGGCCACACCTAGTGGTGTCATAACAAATTGCTCAGTCTGCAGAGTGCGGCTGTATGCTGGGCGACGCATCAGAGTGCTTGGAGTAGGACATTTAGCTTGATGTAGCAAACTCTCATGCCCAAAGTCTGCTTGTTGCCTTTAATCTCCAGAGTGTAAAATTTTTATTTATTTTCTTCACCTGTCAGTGTTGGGTTAAAAAACACAGTAAAGCAAAGAACAAATGCTTTTGCAGTATGTTCAAGAAACTACATTTTAATTTATTATTGTACCAGTGTGCTAGATAGACTTTTTTTTTGTCGTTGATTTTTCAGGTACTGTCCCTTTATTCTGTGAATTAAGTCTTACATTGCTGCCAACTGTGTTCTGCCATATTTTATTCCAAGATGTATTTGGAAAATACTGTAACTTCCCATAGATTCTTTATCCCTAACATTAAAAGCATTTTATTTATCTTTTGTTTTTCAGGAATCAGATTAGCAATTGTTTAAGGAATGACCGTTTTGAATATAGATATATGATAGCCAAGGCAAAAGAACTATCAGAGTTATTGAGAGGTAAATTGTATTTTTGCAAAAGAATAGCTTATGTAGTTCATCTTGTTATCCCTAACATGAAATAACCAAGGTACTCACAACATTGCAGGACAGTAGTGGAGATTCCACATCACAAAAGAATGAGGAAGAAAAAAAGGAAGATAGTAAAGACTGCCCAAATGTAGAAGAGATCAGAGAGAAAGAGCAGAAACCTAAGGCAGATGAAGTACCTAAGGAAGATGATACTAGTGAGTTTTATTGGTCTCATATCTATGAAAATTTTTTGTAATTTTTGGTTATAACTTCAACTTTTCGATGAAATAAAACTGATATATTATAAGCAATATTAACTTGTACAGCAGAAGAAATGGAGGTGGAAGAGAGCAAGGAAGGCAAAGTTGAAGATATCAAAATGGAAATGCAAACTGAGGAAAACAAAGGTGAACAAGGTTGGTTTGCAGAAAATAGATTGCTTTTTCTTTAAAAAAATAGTAGATCATTATGGTTGTTGTGACATAATTTCACTGTTTTTATTTCATTAGTGATTTCATAGGAGAGTCTTGTAATATACTTCATCTTGAGTGGCAGTGTTGCATGTACACTATCAAAAATTAATATTATTATTTTTTGCTGCTTCGTTTATTTATTTTTAATACTTATGATATAGAAATATGGCATTCTACACAACAATTGTATATCACTTTGATATATTTGAATATATATTTTATTCAGTGATTGATGTATCCATTGAGACTTCTGTTTTGGTGATTCATTGTGCATATATCCTGATGATGCCATCCATACATTCCTTTTGCCTGGTCTTTAAGATTTTGGATCAAAGTGATTTTGCTATCATATACCTTATTGGTGTCTTGCTTTGTAGGATCATCAACTTTGTCACGACTTCTAGACCTGCCTCCAAGCAATCCAGGAGCTGCACTGCCCAGACTACCTGATATTAGTGGACCAGTAACTGAGACTAAAGATGAGGTGGGTTAAACCTTTGGTTGATTCTGATGTAGGTTTTTGTTAACCCAATACTGCCGGGCCACACCTAGTGGTGTCATAACAAATTGCTCAGTCTGCAGAGTGCGGCTGTATGCTGGGCGACGCATCAGAGTGCTTGGAGTAGGACATTTAGCTTGATGTAGCAAACTCTCATGCCCAAAGTCTGCTTGTTGCCTTTAATCTCCAGAGTGTAAAATTTTTATTTATTTTCTTCACCTGTCAGTGTTGGGTTAAAAAACACAGTAAAGCAAAGAACAAATGCTTTTGCAGTATGTTCAAGAAACTACATTTTAATTTATTATTGTACCAGTGTGCTAGATAGACTTTTTTTTTGTCGTTGATTTTTCAGGTACTGTCCCTTTATTCTGTGAATTAAGTCTTACATTGCTGCCAACTGTGTTCTGCCATATTTTATTCCAAGATGTATTTGGAAAATACTGTAACTTCCCATAGATTCTTTATCCCTAACATTAAAAGCATTTTATTTATCTTTTGTTTTTCAGGAATCAGATTAGCAATTGTTTAGGGAATGACCGTTTTGAATATAGATATATGATAGCCAAGGCAAAAGGACTATCAGAGTTATTGAGAGGTAAATTGTATTTTTGCAAAAGAATAGCTTATGTAGTTCATCTTGTTATCCCTAACATGAAATAACCAAGGTACTCACAACATTGCAGGACAGTAGTGGAGATTCCACATCACAAAAGAATGAGGAAGAAAAAAAGGAAGATAGTAAAGACTGCCCAAATGTAGAAGAGATCAGAGAGAAAGAGCAGAAACCTAAGGCAGATGAAGTACCTAAGGAAGATGATACTAGTGAGTTTTATTGGTCTCATATCTATGAAAATTTTTTGTAATTTTTGGTTATAACTTCACCTTTTCGATGAAATAAAACAGATACATTATAAGCA